CTCGGCCAAATATTGTCCTATCATAACAAACCATACATCAATGGAAAGCTTATTTATTCAGCTTTGAGATGGTGTATAGATCTCAATTTCATAAAATTGACCCTTATGACTGGTTTTGTGGTCCAGGGTCACATATAGCATAATGAGAGATTCACAAGCAATTGTTAAAAGGGCAGTCATTTTTGAAAGGGAACACCAATGTACGTCGAGGATTTTCAATGTAAAAATCGCAAACATTCTATTTTAGAGCTAGTGTTAATCTACAGTAATATAATTACCTTAATATATAAATATTAGATTATATAATATATGAATAGAAAAAAGGGTTTCACATTTTTACAAACACTGTGCTTTATCCTCCTCCCAGGCTGAATCAAACCTACCAGAAGCTGTTGGCAGAGAATGAGGAACTTCAAGTTGAGCACAAGAGCATAAAGAGCCAGTTGAACTCCCGCAAACTGGAGCAGACACAGCTGGAGTCAGAGCTGTCCAAACTCAAGCAGCAGAACCAGCTGCTGGAAATCACCAGCATTAAACTGACCAACCAGTGTGAGGTGCGTAGCAGTCAATCAGAGCAGAATGTTCTTGGAAGATTTTACTTCCATCTTTTACACACCTGCAGATCATGTCATCATCCATGCTGGTTAATACTGGTAGAAACTGGACAAAGTCTTGCCATCTGAACTTTGCAGTTCAAACAAAACTACTGATTAAGTACTGTAAGTTCATGATGAATCACCTACTTTTGTGCTTTCGTTCAGTTGCTGACCCAGCTGAAGGCGAACTTGGAGGAAGAGAACCGACACTTGCTGGACCAGATCCAGAGCCTGATGCTGCAGAACCGAACCCTGCTAGATCAGACCATGGAGAGCAAGGACTTGTTCCATGTGGAGCAGAGACAATATATGTGAGAGACATTTGTTCTGTCTACGCAGCATAGAAATCAGTTAAAGACATCTTATTAATATTCTGAAAAATCTGCAAAGCAGTGGTTCTCACATTATGATTTATCACCAAAGTTATTTCTGCATAGTTAGGATAACACAACAAATAAATTATTAAAGGGAAGACAAAACAATTCCCATATCTTTAGTTGTTGACATCAATGTCTGTGCATCCAGACTATAGAAATTTAGCACAAATTTATCTGCTGCTTGGTTGAAGCCAATCAAATTACGTAGATGCCAACATGGGCAAGTTTCCTTGACATTCCCTTATCCTCGAAAACTATAAACAAACTATGCAAGGTCAAAAAACATAACCCAGACGACAATAAATATGGGCTGACTTGCAGATAAACATGGTGTGTGCTGACCACTATTTGTTTTTTGCAGTGAATTAACAAGAGCATGAACTTTTTTAGAGCATGACATTTTTGTATATTTTTCTATAATAAGTAACATAACTGAATGCAAAATCTGAGAAATTAAGAAAAAGCAGTGTAACTGGGGCTTCAAAATGACTTAAAATTAGATAAAACGAGCATTAAAATAAGCTAAAACAACTTCAAATCAAGAGAGTTCCCCTTCGACAACCTTTATTGTCTTTGAAGAATCAGTATAGTAAACTAAAACCATAAAAAAACCTTGTTACATTAAATAAAATAAACTTTAAATGAAATTAAATATTAAAAAAGTAAACTTATTTTCAGCTAGTTGCCAAACCAGAATAACTAAAATTAAAACTGAAATAAAAATGTAGAAAAACTATATAGATATACAAACTATATAGATAAAAATACAAAAAAATTAATTATAAAACAACCGACAACTTAAATTTAAATTAAAATGAACTAAAACTGAAAAAATAAAAAACGTAAAAAACAAAATATATATATAAAAAACAGCTTTACAATATTTTATTGGGTAGAAAATGCGAGAATTCATATTGTTGTGGACAATGGAGGTCATCAATGAAGGAATCAAAAAGATTGAAAACTTTTGATGGCACATTATGGCATGTATACGCTAGACTAACTGAAATGTTTTTTTTGACAGAGACAAACTGAATGAACTCAGAAGGCAGAAAGAAAAGCTGGAAGAGAAAATCATGGATCAGTACAAGTTCTATGACCCGTCACCACCACGCAGGTACCATCTCATGATGTGATGTTAACAGAAGCTTTTTGCATACAAAAAAAAAATCAAGATCAAATGTTCATTTATCACGATTTCTGTCTTCAAACACTTAATCAATGTAGACGGGGCAACTGGATAACGCTGAAGATGAGGAAGTTGATGAAGACGAGGACTCGAGATCAGGAGCATGTTCGTTCCTCAACTCCCCAGCTCCGCTCAGAGTCATGTGAGGGTCTGGATGACCTGCGCTGCAACGACAACGGCTCCTCTATGGGTTCCCAGGGCTCTGAGGAATCTGCTTCCAGCTCCCTTAATGGTGACAGCGTGTCCCCTAAGAGGAGCAGCAGTGAGTATAACCTCAGTTACATGAAACTGTCACAGTCCAGCCATTCCAGCCAGGAACATCCAGAAACAAGTCACTCAGTCAGCAGCAAACCCTTCATCCCGACATGCCAAGGTCAGGAGAAGCAGAACGGAACAATTTGTGGCAGACGACTGACATGGAGAAGCCAAGCAAAGGATAGATACCATAGTAAATCACCCCACAAATCACCTCTGCTGATTAGAAAACTCCTCAAATTCTGCCCTAAGCAAACCTGCCACAGAAAACTAAAAGAAGAGTTCAGTTCTTCAAAATAAACATTTATTTGATCTCTGTTTCCTGATTTATGTGAAGTCTGTGAGTCTGTTATCTTTTTTGGTCCTCCATTTTTTTCCACACAATATTTCGGTAACACTTTATTTTAAGGTGTCCTTGTTACACGTTACATGTACTTATTATTATAATTACATGCAAGTAACCCTAAGCCAAACCCTAGTCCTACATATTACTCAGTACTTAAATGTATAATTACACTCTAACGAGGACACCTTAAAAAGTATAACCAATATTTCTTATGTTTTTAAAGGGGTCATATCAGGAGGAATAAAGTGTTGCTTGAGATAAAAGAGCTTTATGAAAACATACTGTACTTTAATTTTCAGAACTCAGAAATTCAGTCAAACAATGCAAGTCAATGGGTTTTAAATAAAAAACAAAACAAAAACAAATCATATTTAATAATATATTCTTTTTTTAAATGAAATGGCCTCTTTAAAACAAGAAATACATGTCATAAAATCATAGAATTTAGCAAAATGTCTTAAAATTCCAAGTAGGTAGCAAAAAAGATGAGTGATGTATGTGTGTCGTTGTTTTGTGATTTTTCATGTTCTTTCCTTCAAAACAATTTCCTTCTTTCACTATGACAACGTTCACAAACGGTTTTATTGTCATGTTTTTCCTCCCTCGTTTCCTGTCTTCACATTTTCCATTGTGGTGATCAAGTCAGCACCCTGAAAATGTTTCATGTTAAGAGTAACAAACCAAAGGATAAAGACAAAGTCAAGTCTCTCTTCCGCCGATCTCTGTGTAAGACCTCACATCCTGCCTATCCTGTAACAGCTGTGCCTTCACTTTCAGTGCTTTTTATTTGAATACATGATAAGATTAATAATCATCAGCCATTAGAGCTTAAATATATAAAAACTGTTTTTATCATTTTAGAAGTAAATCAATGCCTTTTATTCTTCAGTGAAGAGAAAATGATAATGCAAGATAAATGCTTGAACTCCCTCAAGACAAATGCTGCCTCGCCTTTGAGCCCCATAAAACTCATCTCATGTCATCTTCATGTCTTGTCATGTTCCATCTCAGCCATGAATGACCTGCTGCAGTCAGAGGGATGTTTGGATGAGGACTCTGGGAAGCAGGAAGATCAGCCAGAAGAGCAAATAATGCAGCACGCCATTGCCATTTCAAAAAAACACTCCACATCATCATCATCATCATTTCATCACTACTCTTCCATAGACAATCATACAATAATCTGTAATCAAGGTACTAGGTCAAAATGCACATTATTCAGTTTATCTGTCCTATTTTTTGGATCCTACCATCCAAAGCACCATAGAAACATGCCAACAACCATTCTAAACACCTTAGCTTCAAAGAAACATTTTGACAACCCAGAAAACTATAGCAACTATAAAGCAATATACTGTAGGAGAAAAAACACTCAGAACACTGCATAGCAACACCTTGGCAATCCAGAACACAATAACAACAGGCTAAGAAACACTAAAGTTGTGTCCCAAATGACACACTATACCCTATGCACTTATATATTATGTACTTGCGCTCTCAACCTTGTAGGGCATAGAAGAGTGCACAATTATGCAAATTGAAATGCCCTGGCAACCACCAAAGTACCCTAGCAACATCCTAAAGCCACTCACCTTAACAACCGCACAGAAACATTCTGCCAACCAATAACTTTGTATTGCGGCCACAACTTTCGTATGGGCAAGCACCATTTCACCGCTTTGGTGCTTCGCTGCTTTGCAAAATAAGTGTCTTATTAGTAATTATCCACATTTTATACGTCTGTCTTAAAGAATAACTGGAATACAGTGTATATCTAGATTATCTAACTACCTGTTTACACATTTTTTCCTTTCAGGTAAAGATTTTCAAGGAGACACAATTCCACCAAGGCTTGCAAATGGCACTGAAGGCCAAGATAATGGTAAGAATTTGTTGGCAGACTACACTTTCAGAGTGATGCATGAACTTAAAGGAGGTTCACTTCCAGAATGAAAATTTCCTGATAATTTACTCATCCCCATGTCATCCAAGATGCTCTCTGATCCAAGTCTTTCTTTCTTCAGTCGCAAAGAAATTCGTTTTTTTTTTTTTTTAGGAAAACATTCCAGGAATTTTCTCCATATAGTGGACTTCAGTGGTGGCCAATGGGTTGAAGGTCTAAATTGCAGTTTCAATGCAGCTTTAAAGGGCTCTACGCGATCCCAGCCGAGGAATTAGGGTCTTATCTAGTGAAACGATTGGTCATTTTCTAAGAAAAATACAAATTTATATTATTTTTAACCACAAATGCTCATCTTGCACTAGCTCTGCGATGCACATGCGCATCTTCACGCATTGCGTAATCATGCTGGAAAGTTCATGCGTGGTTAGTTCTTCTTCTGTGTACTTTGGTTCAAAAAGGTAGGGTAGGGTGAAAAACTCCTCTCATTTTCTCCTCCAACTACAAAATTGTCCAGCATTGTCGTTTTACTTTTTTTTTGTAAAGGGCGTTTGACTTTCTTTGCACATTCCCTATGTAAACACTGGTCAGTACTTCTGCCTATACCTCACACGTGCATGATTACATAATGCATGAAGTCGAGCTAGTGCAAGACAAGCATTTGTGGTTAAAAAGTATATTTAGTAAGTATTTTTCTTAGAAAGTGACTGATCATTTCACTAGATAAGACCCTTATTCCTCGGCTGGGATTGTGTGGAGCCCTTTGAAGCTGTACTGAAACTGCAATTTGGACCTTCAACCCATTGGCCGCCATTGAAGTCCACTATATAGAGAAAAATGTTTTCCTCAAAAAAGTTTCTTTTCGACTGAAGAAAGAAAGACTTAGATCTTGGATGACATGGGGGTGAGTAAATTATCAGGAAACTGTCATTCTGGAAGTGAACTTCTCCTTTAAACTTCCTCTAATTGACATTTTCACCAGGCCTGAATGGCAAATCGAGTCGCGCCCCAAGCGCGAGCAGTGGCGAGTTCAGCATAAGCCTGGAGAACGAGGCCTGGTCCAGTGATAGCAGCCCCCTTCCGGATCCACTCTCGTCCAGCCGGCAACGATTCAGTGACTCCCCTTCCCCAGCCAGACCCAACCATGAGGATCTCAGGCAGGGCTACAGCTCCTCAGGGAGTGGTGTACGCAGAACCAGCAGTGGAAAATCCGCTGGAGAACGTTCAGTCCAAAAGCTGGACAAAGCAAGCATTGGATTGTATAAAACTCAGAGTGTGCAAAGTACAGAGTCTGAGTCTAAACCTGCTCTTGAGACTCAGGGGAAGTCCTCCTCCGTATCGGGGTGTTTGAACTGCTTTGCCACGCCAATGCGAAGCCCTAAAACAGGCCAGGCTCTGTCCACTCTGCCCCGCGCCAGCTGTGTCATCTCAACGTCAGAGGGCAACAGTCGACGTGCCAGTGTCCATAGCACTATGTCAGTGAAGTCAGCGGGAGCGGTGTCGAGTAAGAATGGTGCTGAACCTCAGCCTGATCCCAGTGATGAGGTATTAAAAGAAAGCCCTGACTTGGAAGAGGAAGACCACAAACCAGAACAGCTTTTTGATTCACCATTCACCATTGATTCGGTCTTCACAAACACAATTTTCAGTGAGTGAAGTTGAAATGATACCAGTTAGAAAAGGTTCCACGTAAACCCCTTTACTGAAATCATACCAGAATCATATAAATACGAACATCTTATTCTGACCATGTGAAAGGCAACTATGCACTATGATTATGCCATCTCTGAGGTGAATTCAGGCATAATCAGTCAGGAAGCCAAACAATCCTCGTCCTTGAACAATCCTCAACTACGGTCCTTAAGTTTTCTTGGTTGACACATGTATATTTTTTCCCCTATCACTCCATATTTTGTCTCCTAATCTTTATTGTTTGCATTTAAACTATTTGGTAACTGATCCCAAGTTTTGTTTTTTTTGTTTTTTTTCAAATTCCATGCATGAAGGTTAAAGGTAAAAAATGAAAATTAAATACAAGTGTCCCTTTGAGCATGTAGCATCAAAACTGCTGTGGTTCATTTGTTCTGACTACTGTATATTAAAGTCTTTTTCCTTTTTTTGCAGTATAGAAGAGCAGTATTTTTTAGCTAAAATGCACCTTGTGTTTGTTAAAAACCAGTTAATATCTCAGAGTACCTGTGTATCTTGCTTAAGTTTCATCATGTTTTCCTTCTAACGTAATAAAACCTGTTTGTTTGTTGTGCTGGTTGTGCTCATGTTTCCTATTTGTAAGCAGGTTTGAAATATAAATAAAAAGACTACGATTAATAAAGATAAAATAATATAGACAATGTGGTTTTTGATGACTTTGGTGGCTCAGTAAGTTGACATTTTCATTCATTGAAATGTCAGGACGTTTTCTGACATATAGGAGACATTTGAACACTAAAAGGTAATCGTTTAAAGGTATTAATTTAAAATATTAATTGTATCTTAAGTACAAACAGAAATCCACCCCAGCAATCAACAATGTTTTTCTCCACTAAGCGCAAACAACTGTGATTGGTTCATCCTGACAAGGGCTGAGAAAAGTAACGGGTACCACGCGCTTTGGTATTAGTAGCCTTCATATTTAGACATTTTCCAACAATTTGAAAAATGTTTCATACAATAACAAAAATACGCAAAAAGTACACAATAAAGTATGCTTGCACAAACAATTCTTTGTCTTTGTGAAGCTTCCAGTACACATGTACATATGCATGTACATATGGTTAGTTAAAAATACAAGTATAAATAGTGTATTGGGCATTTTACCCAGATATGTCTGAGCGTGTTAATTTTACTTGTTCAATTTCTATATCACAATAGAGCTCCATGGACTTTGTGATTATGTCGCCACCGCGTGTTTGTGTTTTGAACTGCATTCTGCGCAATACATTGTGGGATACACTGTCATGGCGGCGCCCTTACAACAGAAATGACATCTGACTTGAGATATTATTTGCCTAAGTTGATTTTTTCTTCACACCTCTGCTTTCAAAGTCTGTATACTGAATGAATTCAGCGGTGGCTGTGTTGAGTGCACGTCCTCTTATTTAGTAAGTAGAAAACGTCACATGAAGGGAAATAATCATGCTGTTAATCTGCCTTGAGCTGCTGTAATGTAATATAACGTAATGTCAGCTTTATAGATGTATGTAAAGATACAAAAAGTGCCTTGGTATTAGCGTGTGTTTTATGATTATTTATGACATTTATCATTGTAATGCCATTTTATATGAACATATACTGTGGTAATACAAAGTCTTTTGGCATGTACCATGGTAATACCATGGTGTTCTTCGAATTGGCTGGAGTACCATGAAAATACAATGACACATACAGTAATCATTCAGTGCCATTGCATTTATTAAATTATCATGGTATTACCATTTGATACCATCACTGGTATGACAGTACATAGGGACCAAATATCTTTAGTAATAGGTTAAAAAGTATAGCATAAACAAGTTATTTAAATATTGATATTCATGATACCTCTCAACTGTCATTTTAAAGTCATTTGTCTTCTAAGTTGTGCTGTATGTGTATTGTTTGTCCTGGATTAACGCAGTATTTGCACATTATCTGTATATAAACTGTAGCTTAATTTATTATTATTTTTTTTTAATTAGAAAATCTGCAATGAAGCGGATAGCAGCCTTGATTGGCAGGACTGCAGTGGCCTGTTGGCATCATGGGAGCCCACATTTTCCCCCTCTACCTGCCTGGGCCCCTGGACCTGCTTACAGATGTCCGCAAATCCGACACCTGGCTGCAAAACAGGCCAGTCTCAAAATGTCAAACCCTTCGCTAATGCTTATCAGAATAGTTTGAATGCCTTGTGTGCGTGTGCTGAGCTGAATGTGCTTTGTTTGTCCTGCTGTAGAATAAGGGCCAATTCAAAGGTCAGAAGATCAACTCCAAACCAGTGAAACTAGAGAAACAACAGAAGCAGGAGGTGGAGATCAAACAGAGGATGACTGTGTCAGAACTCGCCAAGGCCATGAATAAAGACATTGGTGAGTGTTATGGCCAAATGCTCACCAAGGCTGCATTTATTTCAATAAAATAGGATTAAAAACAGTAATATTGTGAAATGTTATTACAATTCAAAATAGCTGTTTTCAATTTGAATATATTTTAAAATGTAATTTATTTCTGTGATCAAAGCTGAATTTTCAGCATCATTACCCAATGTTTTCAGAGTCACACGAAATCATTCTAATTTGCTGCTCAAGAAAAATTTCTCATTATTATCAATGTTGAAAACAGTTGTGCTGCTTCATATTTTTGTGGAAACTGCAATGCTTTTTTCAGGATTTTTTGATGAATATAAAGTTTAAAATAACAGGATTTATTGAAACTAGCCATCTTTTGTAGCGCTGTTATTTTTTTACTGTCACTTTTAATCACTTTCATCCACCCATGCTGAATAAAATTAATTTCTGTAGAATAAAATATCTTACAGGCCCCAAATGGTAATAACAGTAGTGTATGTCTGTGTTATTCCATCCTTAGATCATGTCTATGAGGCCCTGCTCAACACAGATGTCGATCTGGAAGAGTTGGAGCCCGACACAGTGCTGGAGGAGAAATGGATAAAAGAAGCAGTAAAGAGATCGGGAATGAAACACAAATGGGCCAAACTCGTAGAAACCAAAGTCAGAGAAAACAAAGATATCCAGAGACAGTGAGAACAATTTTAATAGTGAGTTTATATATGTATCATTTGTCCCTTTCTGTAATTTCTGTTTGAATTGTTGTCAGACCTCCCCCAGATCCCGCTCAGTTAGTTCCTCGAGCTCCAGTGGTGACCATCATGGGTCATGTAGATCATGGGAAGACCACCCTGCTGGACAGTCTGAGAAAGAGTCAGATCGCTGCGCAGGAGGCGGGGGGAATCACGCAACACATCGGAGCGTTTCGAGGTACTGAACAGCCATTTACAGTTTTTTGTTTATCCTCAGAGACCCGGTGTAGCAGAATTGTAGAATATAATTTGTATGAAGCAATCAAATAATACTTAATTTTCACTAAATATTAGTAAAAAACTCACATAACAGTAGCTGACACTCAATTTTTATCAAGTTTTGGTTTGCTTGTTGAAGTGACACAAAATGTTGATAGCACATGGCACGGACCCAATTCTCAACGCTTTTGGAACAAAATGATCTATTTATAAAGTACGCACAAGTGTAGCAAAAATGCAACGCTGGAGATCAGTACTCAAATCTGTTGCTGCTGTCACACAATGGAGCCTATTCAATTAATGATACAATTTGTTTCGTCATTGGCCCTGTCCCAAATGGAACACTTCATGTGCACTTGCGGTCTTACGGACTTAAGGCCCGTTCACACCAAGCACGATAACTATAAAGATAACGATAAAGATATAGGCTGTTTCTCAATTCCAAGAATGCAAAGAACGGACTTGCGTTCTTGTGGAGACCGGTCTTGCCAAGCTTCCTGGCAAGAAGCGAGGACACAGAACGCACCCTTAAGAGAATTGAGATGTGCTGCATTCTTGCTTAACTGACCGCATAGTCACAGCATAAGCAGCGGCCAAAGAACCATAAATATAACATAACATTACAAACAAATGTCATAACTTATTAAAACATTTCATACTATTATAGATATTATTTACATATAATTGTATATCGTTTTATTTTACAGCGTTATATTTTTAACTATGACTATGTTAAGATTAATTTTAATATGCCAATAAAAATACTGCAGACTTTCTCCGGGTCTTATAACTTTATTAAAATTAAGCAAAACAAAACGATAAATGTTTCTTTTCTAGAGCCGTCAAGTATTTGCGAGAGTGAGTTTAAAGTCGGCATGAAACGGTAGTTGCGATTGTCTTTTCTTCTCTGCTGTGATGTATATCCGAGTGAAACGGCATCTGAAATGAGGCACGCGCGAGAAAGAGAGAGAGAGAGAGAGACTGCCTGAATGACTGAGCGCGTCCTCCATCAGGTTAAGTCATATTCATGAAAAAAAATTAGTTTGCCATGTCCTAAGAGTAATATTGTCATAATATCCTAATATCTTTTCAATGTTTAAGGGTAACGTACTCCCTCATGTCTGGTGTCGGTGCTATAAAGTGAAGCATCAGCTTCAGCTTTTTCCCCCAAACCAAACGTCACTGATGTCACTGCAGCTGTTGGCAGTTCCAGATAGCTCCGCCCTTGCGCCATACCTCGTGACCGGAAGAGTAGAGGAGTCGTTTTGAGGGGGAGGGGAGGTTAACGTTTTTGATTAAAGATTATGAGGGCACATGAATTTTTAAAAAATAATGATGAAGAGCACGGATAAATTATTTACAATAAACACTACAGGCTGGTGTGGACGCTAATATCGTTATCTTTATAGTTATCGTTCTTAATGTGAACGGGGCTTTACAATGGCCGCCGTGTGCACGTGTCCGTTAAGTCCACGAGACCGTAGGGTGTCCCATTTGTCATTTTAGCGTTCAGAAGGGTGCTCGCGAGTGCCCCCTTTGCGCCCTCAATCCGCACTTCTGCTGAGCCAGCACTGGGGCGAGCTCCAGCAGACTTCTACCCAACAGTCAAAGCGGCATTACGTCACGAAAGTGCGGACTCAGAGGAAGACCGCGAGGGTTTAGGGTGCCATTTGGGACAGGGCCATTATTGTCTCATTAATATATATTTTTTAATTAAGTGGTATTCAAATTACTATTTTGTTATATGCTTTGATATGAATATTTATTAAAGTATTTAAATGGTCATAAAATGTAACGACTGTATCCTTATAGGCTGAAATGTATTATTTTTCAAATTGTGTTGTGAGTTCAAAATATTCAGTTTTTCCAAATTATACCCCAATGCAAATTTCGATTTTTATAACCCATGACTTCTTAAAAAATATGTTGAAGAGTGAAAAGAAAAAGAGTACATAATGAATATCAAAGCTTTGCTTTCTGAGGGTTCAACTTAAGACAAATAGTAGGTTTCTTGAAAACAATAAATAATTTATTTCCCAGTAATATGTGCTGTTCTTTTTGGCATCCTCTGTGCCAAGTAAGCAAATTTTGTGATCAAACGAGCCTGTTTCCTGTTCAGTTCAGCTGCCCTCAGGTGAGAAGATCACTTTTCTGGACACACCTGGCCATGCAGCGTTTTCTGCCATGCGTGCGCGTGGAGCCATGGTCACTGATATAGTCATCCTGGTGGTTGCAGCTGATGAC